TCTAAGGATTTATTTCATTGAAATCATTTTTCGATTGCAATAAATTTGCATTTACAAGTCAACGTTTCTAGGACTTTGGAGGCTTTCTCGGCACCCAAATTATTTCGGCGAGATCGTCGTCTGGTGGGGGATATTTGTAATATCTCTAAATGTCATCGAAGGCGCGGAATGGGTTGTTATCGCATCCCCGATCTTCACGACGCTTATTATTTTATTTCTATCGGGGATGCCATTATTGGAAAAGGCATCGGATGAAAGATACAGGGAGTGAGTATCGCAGAAGTGCATTAAAAATTTTCGCAAACCTAAAAAAATTATTCAACAAAGACTTAAATATGAAATTTAAAAAAATGTGTCTTATATATTATATATTATGCTTTAAATTAAGAAGCGCCATAACGGTCAGAACATTAAGATGTTGAACTATTGTAAATTCATACGAATTTCGATTTACTCATGTTTTGCAAATGTTTTCAGTAACGCGGAGTATCGCTACTACAAGCGATCAACGTCACCGTTGATACCGATACCACCGTCTATCTACGTTGAGGTGCCACATTTCCTCAAGTTTATATTCTGCTGTGAATTTCCACTCTACGATTCCCTGGACGTGAAGCCGAGATCAGCCGTCACCGAATCAACGTCTATCAGCCTCGCAGCGTCCACGTAGCTGTAACCACACGCCGGACGTCCGAATTCTGAGTCCGGCGTGCAGTCGATAGCAACAGCTTCAACCAGTACAGCCCTCTGAGTGCTACTTTATCTTTCTCTGCGGCATCGAGAACCCCGTCTATCTGCTGACAAAAATATAAACTCGATGGCCAAACCGTAAATCCCAATCCAACAACACTCTATCGGCACGATCTCGAGGAATTAGACTGTACTTGGTCATGCACATCAATTTCGGTATGTGGGAACCGAGAAGGAATTCCTTTTCAAAATGAAAAGGCTTACAAAAGATGAAGTATTATTATTTTTGTAACTAAAAGCCTTTCCTGGCGTTAGGCATAAACGTTACCGATGACTTTTTGTATAGAATCGAATGATGAGATGAACAAAGAAAATTATTTTTGTAGCGATGTTATATGGGTACCAATGTAAAAGTAGCTTAACGACCAATTCGAGCATCGTTTCTGTACGACAAGTCAACGGTAATCAACGACTTGATTAGCGGCTTTATTTATGTACGTACTTAAACTCTAATTTTAGATACAAGAAGATTAGATAAAAGAAGAGATTGGAAATAATATATAATTTGTGTATGTTCCAAATAATATCCAGGCTTAAAAAGAAAATCTCTTATAAAGCGTCACTATATTCGATTAGTCAATCGCTACTTTAAATGAATAATATTATATGTTGTTCCAAGAGTAGTTCTTGGAAATAAATTAGGCAGCGGTTTACCGCGCTCGCTGTCAACTAATAAAAAAGTATGTGTCTTAAATATCGCAGAAACGAAATTTAAAACGAGATTTTAATGTAATATAAATAAGACGATGTAGCCCATTTTTTAAACTAATAGTAACTTTGAAAATTGATGGTCCGTAATGATTGGCGATTGATACTGTCGATTCGTTAAAGGTAATTAGTAGAAACACATATCGAAGAAAAACGGAACATGTGTGCATCCTAATTTTCATAACTCGGTAGCGAATAAGCAATATTTATCGCCAGAGACGAACGTAATAAAACAGTCAAGTTTACTTACATTTCACTTATCATAATCGCTATTCATTTCGTTAGTATGTTCATGTAGGATGCTTACAAAGAACTTTTAGATGCGAACGTGGTACATACGTCCCGATTGCAATCCCGAAGCTTTCGATCAAATTATTGAGTCATAGCAATATTAAACATATCTCTGTACCGATAGAACGTCCCCAGAATACGAAATAAAAACAAATTTCGAAGGAAACTTATAAAACATATGTAGCGATAATTCAAATTAATGACGCGCATGAAACGAATTCCTCATGAATAAATGATTCAAATATTACTTCCCAATACTTTACTGTTACATATAACTTTGAAGTTTAGATAATAAATAATTACTGATCCTGAATCGTGGAATTATTGATTGACTATCTTGTCCTCTTAATTATATTATATGATCTCATCAAATATTATATCTTTTAAATAAGATTTGAAGAGATTCGGAGAGCAGATCGCAATAAACGTCGACAGATTACGTAAAGTTCGCTTCATATTTATAAACACATTTTATTTGTTTGTATGTATATCATTAATAAATGGTGATATAATAATGACAATGAAATGTATAGCGCCGAGCATAAAACGAGCAGTCATATTATAATAATTATTAATATATTCTTCTTATAATAATCTTACTGTATTGAGTGGGCCTACCTACGGTGCTTGCAACGTTATGGTCTCTCTTGTCCAAATGTTTCTTCCATTCTCTAATTTATATTATTTACTCGCACGTAATAATCCATAATAATATGTAACCACAGGTGAAAACATATGCGCCGTCCTAAGTATAAACAGCATCATCCACTAATCTTTTTTTTCCATTTTTCCTTTACGTGATTATATATACATATGCATATATATATACACACACGTATATATGTATATGTATATATATAATCACGTATATATATAATTGTTATCAATAATATAGTAAGCTACTTAAATGTAATATATCTCGTGTCTTCTCGTGGAATATGTTCAGCTGCCGTAGAAAAACTACGCAGCGTTCGTAGAAAAAACTTCAATTCCCGTTATACATCAAATTGTCGATTTTCGATGCGTGAAAGACACTTTGTATTACGCAAGGTAATTTTTTTTTCCTTAACACGTCCGAAAAATCGTATATCAATACATGGGCAGCACAGCGTTTTGAGTACCAAGGGAAAAGAGATCAAAACATTACCTGTGCCTCTTTGCTAAAAGAAAGAAAATAAAAAACCGAGGACTTGGAGGGAGCAAGGAATGGTGGATAAGGGGACGAAATATTACGACTCTGCTATACACGAATGGCATCTTCCTCGCGTATCTAAGTCCGACTGCATTCGCGCGCGTCTACGTTTAATACATATACTATAATATACAAATAATAGATAATAGTATGTGCCGTCCATCGCTTATCGCGGTTCCTTACTTCCGTTCGTCTAAAAAGTGATAAGAAAGGACTACAAAAATACCATATAGTCCATACGAAATATAGGAATGAGAGTCGTCGATTAAAATAAAAGTTGATTGCACGCGCTTTGATAAGAGCGGATCGAACTACTTTTCCATACGGCCCTCTCAACTACATTTGCATTCCACATTAGGCTGTCTGAGGACGTCCGTTGCTAGCTGGTCAATTGGCGTGACTCGACTCTCGATTCGATTGTTAAAAGAACGTGCGCGCGCGCGCGCGCGAAAGAGAGAGAGAGACAGAGAGAGAGATAGAAGTAATTCAGTCAATCGATGACCTAACATTTGTTTCCGTAGGACATCGGATTCCCTTTCTCCTATCATTATTATGGTTAGTATTAATATTATTATTGTTGTCACATTCTTATTAACATTATCGTTACGTTAACATTAGCGTTATTATTAGCGCTATCGTAATGAAAATCTCGGATCGCGTCGATGAACCGGCTTCCCCCCACAGCACAAAGTTGCACAAAAGGTACAGTAACACTGCTGCAACATTGCATGTTGCAGCAATATTGTAGAGATTTTGCAGCGATATTGTTGCAAATTCTGTGCTGTATGGGTCTAGACGCAACGGTGTTTCCTCAGATGGTTTTTCGATAGAAATCTCTCAATGATACGCGTCGTAAAAAATCTCTCATACAAAATCTTTTTAGAAACTTCATTTAACATGATATAAAAGCGAAGTAAAACGCGCGATACACGTGTGAACGTATCATAAAAAAGAAAATTAACATGAACTAAATTAAAGAGAAGATTGCGTTACGTTGCGCCAGGACGCAAGGTAACTTATACACAGCAAGGATCATTGAGGGAAGCGAAGTAGGAGACGCTTAGTCTCGCCTCAAAAGGCGGGGATCAGTATGCCCGTTCACGCGACCCTATCCTCGCTTCTTCTTCTCTTCCTCTTCTCCCGTAACTACTTCTATCTTATAGCGTAACGCTATATTGCATTTGGCCACTGTCGACAAAGACCCCAGCTGCGTCAGACTATTGCAGTTCGTATATTGCAATCCTACGTTTCTAATGACTTATGAGATAGCCCCGTTTTTTTCGTTTGTCCTTAGCAGAGCAGAGAAAGGGCGTGTGGATTAGAGAATAATCGTTTCGGTCGTGTGTGTTTCGAGTGTGTCAATGTGAAGTAACGCGTGATGCGCATTGAACGTATATAAACGAAGTATTAACATTATACATGAGTCTATTAATATCTATACGTATAAGTAGAGAGCTCTAGTCCCAAACCTTATCTCTCTCTTTTTTGCTTTCTCTCTTACACACACACACACACACACACACACACACACACACACACACACACA